AATTTTTAATATTTAAAAATTGTTCTTTTTCCCCCCCCCCCCCCCAACAATTCTGTGACCATATCTCACAATCCTGACTTTTTTTCTGCAATTCTGCATTTCTATCTTACAATTCTGACTTTTTTGTTACAATTCTGTGCAATTCTGTATTTATGTCTCAAAATTCTGAGTTTATATCATTCAGTTCTGAATTTTGTTTCTCAGAAATGCAAGAAAAAAAGTCCAAATTGTGAGATACAATGTTGCAATTACCTTTTTTTTATGAACTATTCCTTTAATATGGAGACTAGTTTCCACCATGCACTGAAAAAAAGATACAACATTTCTTTAAAGGTAAGTGGTTGCAAACCATAAAAAAAAAAGTTGAAAAGTTAGTCAGCTAAATTAGTTTATTTAAATGTAGCTATAGCTAAAATAAATTGATTGCAGCCACTTACCTTAAAAAAAATAGTAAATTCAATGAATCGTTTTTTTCAGTGTGAAATCAAAAAAATATTTATTTCAGTTTTTATCTCAGAATTCTGACTTTTTTCTTGCAATTCAGTATACCTCAGAATTGCAAGAAAAAAGTAAGACTTCTGAGATGAATTCATTCATTCATTGTCATGTGGCAGAAACAGGATTCCATACTTTAATCATGTTGCTGTCTAGAAGAACCATTTAAGATAATAATAAGATTTAATTTATGATTTTCATGCAAAATACACAAAAATTATATGTGCACTCTAAGAAAATCTATACAAAGGTTCTCTCTGGGGTGATTCCTTTTAAAAGGTACAACTCTGCATGTGTCTTATTTCCCCTAAAGGTGCTTATTAATAACTAAAGTGCTGACATTAGCAGCTAACGTGTTGATTTCACACGAGTGTGTGGATCACATCGCTCTTTACTGTGATGGCAGAGTCTTGCGCTTCAGTGTCCTGTTTATGTTGAATTCCACTCTCGTCTTCCTGAAGGAAGTTCAGTCACACAGCGCACCAATCGCTTCATCTGTTTGGCCAAATCTACTCAAACACACACGCAAACTCACAGAAGAGACAATAAGTGCGTGGAAATGATGGTCTTTAAACACATTTTCAGTGTGAGATGATGTACTGCATTTGCCACAATGTGCAGTGACAACCACAGCTGTATCCCACAATGCAATGCACTTGAGCTGACCTTCTGTTTGTAGTGTGACGGATGAACCGGATGTGATATTATTTCCCTCTTGATTTGTTATTTGAAAAACGTACAGGTGCATTTACACAAAAATGCAACTTGAATTAAAAATGTGACATAATGCATGGGTTATAAAATATCTGGTGTGCATGAAATATGAGAAGTCACCAGTTAGACTATCTTTCAAGAGTTTGGGGTCAGTAAGATTTTTATTTTTCTGAAAGAAATTAATGTTTTTATTCAGTGAGGATGCATTAAATTGATCAAAAGTGTCAGTAAAGACATTTATAATGTTAGAAAAGATTTCTATTTCAAATAAATGCTGTTCTTCTGAACTTTCTATTCATCTGTCCCCCAACAATTCTGTGACCATATCTCACAATCCTGACTTTTTTTCTGCAATTCTGCATTTCTATCTTACAATTCTGACTTTTTTGTTACAATTCTGTGCAATTCTGTATTTATGTCTCAAAATTCTGAGTTTATATCATTCAGTTCTGAATTTTGTTTCTCAGAAATGCAAGAAAAAAAGTCCAAATTGTGAGATACAATGTTGCAATTACCTTTTTTTTATGAACTATTCCTTTAATATGGAGACTAGTTTCCACCATGCACTGAAAAAAAGATACAACATTTCTTTAAAGGTAAGTGGTTGCAAACCATAAAAAAAAAAGTTGAAAAGTTAGTCAGCTAAATTAGTTTATTTAAATGTAGCTATAGCTAAAATAAATTGATTGCAGCCACTTACCTTAAAAAAAATAGTAAATTCAATGAATCGTTTTTTTCAGTGTGAAATCAAAAAAATATTTATTTCAGTTTTTATCTCAGAATTCTGACTTTTTTCTTGCAATTCAGTATACCTCAGAATTGCAAGAAAAAAGTAAGACTTCTGAGATGAATTCATTCATTCATTGTCATGTGGCAGAAACAGGATTGCATACTTTAATCATGTTGCTGTCTAGAAGAACCATTTAAGATAATAATAAGATTTAATTTATGATTTTCATGCAAAATATACAAAAATTATATGTGCACTCTAAGAAAATCTATACAAAGGTTCTCTCTGGGGTGATTCCTTTTAAAAGGTACAACTCTGCATGTGTCTTATTTCCCCTAAAGGTGCTTATTAATAACTAAAGTGCTGACATTAGCAGCTAACGTGTTGATTTCACACGAGTGTGTGGATCACATCGCTCTTTACTGTGATGGCAGAGTCTTGCGCTTCAGTGTCCTGTTTATGTTGAATTCCACTCTCGTCTTCCTGAAGGAAGTTCAGTCACACAGCGCACCAATCGCTTCATCTGTTTGGCCAAATCTACTCAAACACACACGCAAACTCACAGAAGAGACAATAAGTGCGTGGAAATGATGGTCTTTAAACACATTTTCAGTGTGAGATGATGTACTGCATTTGCCACAATGTGCAGTGACAACCACAGCTGTATCCCACAATGCAATGCACTTGAGCTGACCTTCTGTTTGTAGTGTGACGGATGAACCGGATGTGATATTATTTCCCTCTTGATTTGTTATTTGAAAAACGTACAGGTGCATTTACACAAAAATGCAACTTGAATTAAAAATGTGACATAATGCATGGGTTATAAAATATCTGGTGTGCATGAAATATGAGAAGTCACCAGTTAGACTATCTTTCAAGAGTTTGGGGTCAGTAAGATTTTTATTTTTCTGAAAGAAATTAATGTTTTTATTCAGTGAGGATGCATGCTTGTCACAACAACACAAATGTTATAAATTGAAACCAAAACTCTACAGATTTCGCAATCCTCAGTATCACTACAAAACAGATCACTAACTCCAACTGACTTTAGGTAAACATTGCACTCAAAAACACATTAAAACAGCACAAAATGATGAAATGCTGAATTAAGAGTAAACCATGTCACAATGATTATTCTTGTCAAATGCATATTTATGAAAATGGGTAATTCTGGTGATGTAAT